TTTATATATATTTATAAATAATAAACCTGTATTATATAAACTTTCTACCAACATGGATACTTTTTTCCTTACATGAACTATTTGAGACATACACAGAGGATGCTTTGTGTCAACACGCGTGTGGCCACCATTAAGAAATACAGCATTACAGATTTAATTTTATGTTTGGGTGCATCCCCTGACGCCCCATCTCATTCTTGTCCCTCTTTTCTCCAGAGCTAACTTCAGTCTGAACTGTAGTTTCTCATTCCCAAGTACACTTTGTACTTTATACCATCACTACCACATGACTACATACGTATAAATAATACCCAGGATTGTTTTTCATGTCTTAAAACTTTTATTAGTGGCATTGTTGTTGAGTGCCCTCAAGTCAGTTCTGACTCATAGCAACCCTGTATAAGGTTTCCCAGGAGCAACTGGTGGGTGGGTTTGAACTGCTGACCTTGTGGTTAACAGTCCACATTTCTCTTACAGAGCCACACCAGGACTCCATTAGTCCATGTAGATCCTCCAATCACTTGCTTGTTGGCCTTGACATTGTGTTTCTGAGGTTTCTGCATGTGGGCACATGTACCTAGTTCACTTACTTGAATTGCTAAGGCAGGTTTCATTGCATGAATGTGCTGTAAAGCATTCATCTCTTGCTTGTTGATGGACATTTAGGTTGTTTCCAACTTTTGCTACTACAAGAATACTGGAATGGACATTCTAGCATTTAATGTGAAATGCCTTTTCAGCCAGTTACTCTGGGCACAAGGAATGGATCTAGATGATGGTTTCCCTTACACACACACACACACACACACACACACACACACACACACACACCATCTCAGACCTCTGAAAGCCAGTCACCAAGGGAAGACAAGCACTTTGAACACCACCTAGATTCATCTTGGCATTCTAAGCACTACACAGCCCCAAACAGGGAAAAGTAGCATTGTGATGGATGGCCCAAGCTCTGTAATCACTTGGCTACCTACTGGCAAGAACTGCATGTTTATGAATGCAAGTGCCTTTAACTCACCATTTTTCTGCACAATAAAATCACAGATGTCACGGTGTTGGGAGAGATTCCCAAACACACGCACAGCCTCCAGAATCCCTTGCATGTTGTTAGTGACCAGGAGCTTTAAGAGCACTGGGTTTGGTTAACAAAGAAACAAAATCAGTACATTCAAGTCTTAAATTAAAGGCTACTAGAAATCAAAATAATATTCAATACTGATAACTTTAAAAATGATAATAAAATGCCAACTTTAAAGGAGTTTTGCAATAAAATTAAGTATTAGTTTGTCCCTTACAAAAAAAAATGTAGGTTATATTCTAGACAAAAGTCAGGCTTTTAAAACATATACCTAAAGTCAGATCATATGAATGACTCTAGTTCTGTGTTTAGTTAATCAAATCAAAACCTTAAACAAACATTCATGTGTCCAAGTCCAACCTTACTTACATTCAGCTATATATAGCTTTTTGTCGTGAATGATGGAATTCTTCACTTGGTAGTAAGATAAATTGTTGATTGTTGCTATAGCATTTATCACTAGTTCCTCACAATCATCAATTGACTTGTATTCTGAAACAAAGTGAGGATAGAAGTGTCAGAGATGAATCACAGGGGTAGAGCTAATGGTATCACACCTGCAGCAATGCTAGGGCCCTGGACCAGGCTTCTTCCCAGGCCAGGGCTATGCAAGTGTGCTCTGTTTCCCATGATTCTTCCTGCAGGGAAAGACACCAGAGCAGAGAGTACACACTATACTCAGTCCCTCCAGCCAGGGGTTTGGAAAGCCAGGCCATTCTAGTCCCTGTGTGTAATAGCAAAGCCAAGAGTTCAGTACCCCATTGAGCGCAAGCTAGCTCTAATCGCCAACTGGTTTGCCCAGTCCTCAGGCTCTCCCAGAGCCTCCACCCTGCGAGTATGGAGTCTGCTACCCACACCCAACTCCCAACAGAATGATTCTTAGGTCATAAACCATCTGTAAAGCCTATCAACTCTGACTTCCAAACACTCAAAATATGATCACTTCCCACTATTTCCTCTAATACCGCCCTAGTACATCCCACTTCCTCACTGGCTTCTTCTCTTCCATTTGTGCCTCCCTAAGTCTATTCTCAACATAGTGAGCCCGACAGAGTTAGCTGGGAAATGTCGCTCATCTCCATGCCCAATAATGAATCCTCTAACAGTGCACCCTAACCTAATATTCCATCCTACAGATAAGAACACCGAGGCTCCGAAAAGCTAACTCCTGTGCGTGACATCACAAAACAGGCATCTGAATCCAGGCCTGACTTTTTCGCCCACTGAAGCCAAGGATACAGACATCACTATGGGACCATTAAAGCCGCTGGGGCAATAATTTGTTCCCAAGAGCATGAGAAAGCCACACAGCCCTCTAGAACGGACTAGCTTGTGAATATTAATAACTGTAGGAAAGTAAATCAGGCATAGCTCTCCTCCTAACTTGGCCATTCACAATGATACGTCTCCAATCCAAGAGCTCAGCCCCTTCTAGGTCACTGCCGCCAGCTCACAGCAGGTGAGAACTTCTCCAGCAGGTGTCAGACTTTGTAGTTCCTAACCTGTCACAGAGGATAGCTGTGGTTCCCTGAGCACTCAGTGCTTAATGGGAACAAGAATCACCTGGGGACAGGGGAGGACTTGAAATGCAGGTTCGAAGACTCTAATAGACAATGGCAAGGCTATGGAAAGAGGATTTTAATGAGTCCCACAGCTGATTCTGAAGGAACTCTGGTAGCGTAGTGGTTACAAATCGGGCTGCAAACCTTAAGGTCAGCAGTTTGAAACTACCAGCTGTTCCGTGGGAGAAAGATAAGGTTTTCTGCTCCCATAAAGATTTACAGCCACGGAAACGCTGTACAGGGTCGCTATGAGTCGTAACTGACTCCACGGCACATAACAACAACAACAGCTAATTCTGAGGTGGCTGGTTCCCTGGCTGAGAAGTACCACCGTGAAGGGCCAAGCTTCCGGGGAGGAAGGAGCATTGAAAGACAGGGCAATGTTATGTAGCCTAAAACCTGTAATATTTGAAGCTGTTTAAAAAACTGAACTTTAGAAATGGCAACTAGGCAGATGCGCTAAGCGGACCCTCTACAACAAAGATAGGAAAGGCCCAATGAAACAGACACAGATGAAAATCCTGGAACAATGAATGTCAGAGGAGAGGGAGAGCTGCGAATTAAGTGCTTGCTGGGAGAAGAGACTGAGAAGAGGGAGACTGGCTGGTGAACGGTTGGCCAGACTTCAGTGTGACCATCTCAAACTTTTGTGAGCAGCTCTGATGACAGAACATGGCATGGCAGAGCAGATTCACACAGATGATGGAAAAAATTTGATTTCTTCTTTCTCTCCACACTTCCCTGGTGACCAGAGGTGTGGCCAGCTCCCACCTCCATCCCTGCAGCAGTCTTGCTCTCCAGGAGTTTGGAACCACATGGTTGGGAATGACATCAGTGTGAGGTGGGGGTCGGCTGCAAGATTTGGTGCTTAGATTCAGACAGCTCAACTCCAGACCTCCAGAACCCACAGAGCCACCAGACCAGCATTAGTCTAGCAGAAACCCTCATAACCCAGTTGCCCCGTGGTTCTAACAGACACTGAAACCAGCTCCATCAAGAGCCTACAGGACTGAGTGCACTGAACATAGATAACACCTAGGTCTATAGGAGCTCCATCGAGGGCCAGGAACTCCGCTGTCGCATCCTTCCTACACCCTCGGTTGGCAGAGCCTTCCCCCCCCCCGTTTTCTCCTCTCTGGGTCCAGCAAGTGCACTGTTTTCTTTTCTTTCATTGTTTTTGTTTGTTCTTTTTTCTCTTTTTGCTTCTCAGTCCATTCCCTAGAATTTAACTCTTTCTAGCTCTACTTTGGAGTCCTGGTGAGGCTTTGTGGGCTAATGCATAAGGCTGCAAAGTCGTTTGAACTGCAAGGTCGGTGGTTCAAGCTCACCAGTTGCTTCTTGGAAACCCTCTACAGGGTGGCTATGGGTCAGAATTGACTCGACGGCACTTCACAACAAAAACATCTCTAGTTTTTCCTTCTTTTTTTCTGTTCCTCATTTCCTTTCTTATTCTTTTTCTTTGGATCTTTCTTCAAACCTTTAAACTCTAAGCTCTGGTTCTCTTTTCAGCTTCCCTCTTCCTGGTTTTTCTAAGTGTTGTTCGTTTTTTTTTTTTTTTTACTCATTACTTCCATCTTCCTGTCCCTCTTTTCTCTTTTTATTTATTATAGACTTGTTTCTGGCTAATGCTTGTTTTAATTTATTTTTTCTCCTTTATCGTTTTCTCTTTTCATTGCTGGTTGCTTGTTTTGTTTTCTTGTGTGTGTATATTTTGTTTCTCCTCTTTCCCACCCAACAGGAGACAGCAATCATGCCCATACAGCCCAGCCACAACCAAATCCTCTGCAGCTCCACCCATTGGGTAAGAGCCAATACCAGCTCCTATGCCAACTGATCAACAACAGACAACAGACAACCCCAACCAAACCCACCCTAAACTGAGGTGTATGAACAGTGTCTGGGACTGGCACATATGATTTCACCCCTAAACTACACCCAAAAGAGACTGCTAACAAGAGCCTAAGAACACGTCAACATACAGTCATCAACAACATCCAAATACAAAAACACGAAAATGTTCTGGAGACCACAGACAATTTTAGCTCACATGACAGAACAAGAGCAAACAGCACAAATAAATAACCCAGACACAGAGCCAGAAAACACTTCTGAGGTAGAAAGAGTAATAGAACTAACTGGAAACTAATTCAAAAGAATGATATTCAGGTTCCTTCAAAGGACTGACAGAAAGATCAAGGAAAACAAACAGAACACAGAAAAACTTTAGACGAATTCAAGAAAACACTATAGGAACAAACATATAAAATCAGTGCAAATTTTGAAATAATACAAAACCTGTAATTAGAAATACAAAAGATTAATACTAAGACTTCAGAAATGGACACTGCATTAAAGGGACAAAGGAGTAGATTCAAAGCAATGGAAGCCGGAACTAATGAGTTTGAAGATCAATCTCTCAATACTAGTATGCTGGGACTCCTAGTGTGGTGCTGTAGGATAATCACTGAACTGCTTATCACAGGTCAGAAGTTCAAACACACCAGTGCTCCTTGGAAACCCTACACAGGATCACTATGAGTTGGAACTGACTCAATGACCCTTAATAACAACTAGTATGCTGGAAGAACAACCAAATAAAACAATGAAAAAAAATCCAAAGAAAGCCTAAGAATTATGTAAGGCATCATGAAGAGGAATAACTCATGGATGGTCAGAATTCAGGAAGAGGAAGAAACAATAAAAAACATAGAGAAAATTGTCAAAGAATTATTGGAAAAAAATTTTCCTAACATCATGAGAGACAAGATAAGCATATGGGAAGCTGACCAAACCTCAATCAGGATAGATCCCCAAAAAAAAATCACCAAGACACATCATAATAAGATTCTACAAAATCAGAGACAAAGAAAAAATCCTGAGAGCAACTTGGGAAAAATGAAAAGTTATTTACAAAGGAGAACCAAAAAGACTAAGCTCTGATTTCTCAGCAGAAACCACGTAGGCAAAAACACAAGGAGAAGACATATAGAAAACTTTGAAGGAAAAAAACTACCAGCCAAGAATCATCTGCCTAGCAAAGCTGTTCTTTAAATACAAAAACAAAATTAGGACATTTCCTGGTAAACAGAAATTAAAAGAATTTGCAATAACCAGACCAATTTTACAAAAAATACTAAAGGATGCTCTTTGGACTGAGAACCAACAACAGCAGACAACAATCTGAGATTAACATACATGACAGCACCACCCAGAACTCAATCCGGATATAGAATTATTTAAAGTAATTCTATAATTCTACAAGTCTGAAAATAGGGAATCAGAAACACTAATTTATAATGAATTCAACTGTACAGTAGAAAGAGGGAATAGTGTAGATACATAACTTGCAAATGGCCAGGAAGTCAACTACATTTCAAGATAAAACAAATGAGAAATGTCTTAAATGAGAAAAAAATAAATAAATTATAGGGTAACCTCAAAGAAAATTAATATACCTTCATATCCAAAAAAAAAGAGGAAAACCAGAAAGATTTAGTAACCCATTAATAAACATCGACATGAAAATGAAAAGAAAACCCACAAACAAGTGAAATCACTTCAGAAAAATTATGTGGATCAACAAAACCAGCAGCACCACAAAAAAACACAAATCAAAATGGCAGCAATATATTCATTTGTTGTTGTTGTTAGGTGCCATCGAGTCGGTACCGACTCATAGTGATCTTATGCACAGCAGAACGAAACACTGCCTGATCCTGGGTCAACTTCACTATGTTGCCATGCATGAGTCCATCGATACTACCACTTGGCCAATTCATCTCGTTGGGAGTCTTCCTCTTTTTTTCTGACCCTTTACCTTACCAAACATGATATCCTTCTCCAGTGACTGGTCCCTACTGACACTATGTCTGAAGTATGAGAGATGAAGCTTGGCCATCTTGGCCTCCAAGGAGCACTCTCGCTGCACTTCCAACACGGCTCTATTGGTTCTTTTGGCAACCCATGGCACTTTCAATATTCTCTTCCAACACCATAAATCAAATGCATCAATTCTTCTACGGTTTTCCTTATTTACTGTCCAGCTTTCACATGTATATGAGGTTATTGAAAATACCATGGCTTGGGTCAGGCGCACCTTAGTCGTCAAGCTGACATCTTTGCTCTTCAACATTTTAAAAAGGTATTGTGCAATACGTCGTTTGATTTCTTGACTGCTGCTTCCATGGTGTTGATAGTTGATCCAAGGAGAATGAAGTCCTTAACTTCAATCATTTCTTCCTTGATAAGAATGTTGTTTATTGGTCCAGTGGTGAGGATTTTTGTTTTCTTTACATTGAGATGTAATCCATACCTGAAGGCTGTGCTCTTTGATCTTCATCAGTAAATGTTTTAAGTCCTCTTCACTTTCAGCAAGCAAGGTTGTATCACCTGCATATCGCAGGTTGTTAATGAGTCTTCCTCCAATCCTGATGCCACATTTTAATTCATATAATGCAGTTTTTTGGATTATTTGTTCAGCATACAGGCTGAATAAGTATGGTGAAAGAATACAACCTTGTCACACACCTTTTTTAATTTTAAACCATTCACTGTTCCCATGTTCTTTCTAACTGCCTCTTGGTCCAGGTACAGATTCGTCATGAGCACAATTAAGTGTTCTGGAATATTCATACTTCACAATGTTGTCCAAAGCTTGTCATGATCCACACGATCAAAAGCTTTTGCGTAGTCAATAAAGCACAGGTAAACATCTTTCTGATAGTCTCTGCTTTCAGCCAAGATCCATCGGACATCAGCAATGATATATATACCTCATTCCACGGCCTCTTCTGAATCTGGCTTGAACCTCTGGAAGTTCTCAGTCAATGTATGCTTGCAGTCATTTCTGTATTACATTTAGTAAACTTTACTCGCGTGGGATATCAAAGAGATTGTCCGATAATTTCCGTATTCTATTGGGTCATCTCTCTTTGGAACTGGCACAAATATGGATCTCTTCCAATCAGTTGGCCAGATAGTTGTCTCCCAAAGTTCTTGGCAGAGATGAGTGAGTGCCTCCTGTGCCTCCTCACTTTCTTGAACGATTTCAATTTTTATTCCATCAGATTCCTGTTGCTTTGTTCTTTGCCAATTCTTTCAATGCA